ATATCAGTTTTTACCAAAAATGACAAAAATATTCACCAAAATTAGAGAATTGAAGATATCATCACGAAATGAACAAATCTGAGAGAGGTCCACATGTAGTACCTATATATGTAATATCAAAGCAATTGCACTTGCGGTTTTTAACAAGAAGTCGAAAATATCAGTTTTTACCAAAAATGACAAAAATATTCACCAAAATTAGAGAATTAAAGATATCAACATGAAATGAACAAACCTAAGAGAGGTCTACCCAAGGTACATATACACCAAGTATCAAAGCATTTAGGCTTGTAGTTTTCAAGAAGAAGTCGAAAAAGTAAAACATTGACACGGACGACGACGACGACGGACAATCACTCATATGATAAGCTCCGCTCGACAAAGTCGACAGCGGAGCTAAAAAACAGCATTGAAAAGAAAATATGAATGCTGTTCCCGAAGACATGGCATTTAAAAGCCTTTTTAGGATTTACAATGCTCTTTAAGGAGATCAGAAGCTACAGCTTCTAATAAAATGGTACAATGCAACAGAGGATATGGCTTTTAATTACACCATTTACACATGAGAAAGTGAATTTTTATTTCTTAAATTTGTGTATGTACGACTTGAGAGAAATGAAGCGTAATTCAATTACCTCTCTATCGTATCCTCCATCCATTCTCTCACCAAACATCTCCATCTATAAATAACCATAGAGTTAATCATTTAATATACATGTACTTTTTTTCACAAGGAAATTAAACGATTAATGCTGTAAACTGCTCTTTATGAAAATCACCAAACTTTGTAGCAGTAAAAATTTACAGTATTCCTACAATCCTGGAATCGTTTTTAGCTGTGAAAATTTAAAGGTTTACAGTATAGTAATTGCATACAATAAAATAAAGATTAAAATAATTATCCATCCAGACTTGGAATCTACCAAGTGCCTAGGCAACAATCACAAACTATTACATCGTACTCCAAAGCAATGATTGAACATTTTTTTTCTTACCCCTGGATTATCTTTATCGCCAATCAATTCATTAACAAGCTCCCTGGCATGCTGTAACAATAAATCAAAACAGTGGTAAAAAGGAGGTGCTAAAGAGCTGGGCAAGTGGGCTGGGCTCTGTTAACAAAAAAACATTCAAAAACAGAATAGTTGTTTAACCTTTTAACCACTAGACTGTCACTCAAATTGTTCTGCACTTTTTTTTTTAAATTTTCAATATTTCTGGAAATGAACTCTAATTTTGGATCCATCACGAACAAGTTTGAGTCAATTTTCACTCAAAATTTGGCCATTTGTGTTCCAGTCTTTTGTAGGAAAGTGCAGACTGTGAACAGGACTATTTTGTGAATTTGTGATGAAGAGAAGGAACTGGTGGTGAAAAGGTTAAACATTAGTAGCTTTGGTATAAAGACATGTCAGTTTACATGTTTTATGCCAGTGACAAGAACAAAATAATACCCAACAGAATTGATAGGATCAAAAAACATTCATGAGATACACACCTTACATTTCTGTGGGTCACCTGATACTCTTAATGGTTTGTCTGAAGTCCCTGAAGTAGTAGCATCCTGAATCATCACCATTTTAACACCTGCGCGTTCCTACATATCATAAAACACTTGTGAACGCTAACTACACAACAATATTAAACATTTTAAGTATCTTATATATAAAATAACACTTCCAATCGGTGTGCCATCCAAATCAATACAAAATGTCACTGACGCGAACAAATTTGCTGTGACGCAATTAGTTGTGAAGATTCACAGAAAATATTTTCTATTAATATAATTTATACTTTGAAAAACATCTCAACATGGTTTGGTAGAATAAAATTCACAAGATAAAATGAAAATGAAGAATATCAGGATCAGAATTTGTGCCTGAAGTCTATACAGTCACGTACAATTTTTTTTTTAAGACATTCTTCCAGCAGCAAACAAACTGACCCAACTTAGGGCGACCCAATCCTTACAAAATCAGTCTTGGTAGAGGAAACGCTGCTTCTAATGAGCACTCGTATCGATTTTATGGTACTGCTAGTGTTGGCCAATGTTATGAATGTATTAAAAAAAGACAGTGGCGTACCTGTAATTTTTTAATCATTTCACCTCCTTTTCCAATAACAAGACCCACTTTATTACTTGGTATCATAAGTTCAATAGTAGTGTTACCATCACCAAGCCCTCCATCAGAACCAACAGCTGGTCCCTGTCCTCTTTCTATTATTCTGTCTATCAAAGCCTTTGCACGCCTGTAAAATAGTATATATACAATGGATAAGTTTCAGTGCAACTCTTCTTCCTAGAAATTAAAACTAAATCACTGGATGTCAATTTTTCTGACAAATTTTGCATATTATTTTAAACACATACTCTGTTGCCACAATGTACAAAAATCATTGACTAACTAAACTCCTACTGCACTGTTTTCAAGTTTTCAGCAATTTTGATTTATATGTCGGCAATGTCACAGTGAGGGGGGAAACTGTGACAGTCAAATTATGATTGGCAGTGTCTGAACATCGCAGCAAAACAAAACACTGTGGCATTACAGCCATACAGTTTGTACTCTGGGTAGAACACTGCAAGAACATGTGTCGAATATACTGACATACACTCAATGCATCGTGAATGTTGGCAAGTTCACACCTGTCAATACAATAATGTCCACATCAATACATCATCAGCTGTAACTGCCCATGAGAACTTGAAACTGTTCACATTAAAAATGCAGACATTTACAAACATTTACTTGCCTCAATATTGTTATGTACATTTGCAAGCAGGTACTTGATAGGTTGTCATTGCACTTACTCTATAGCTTGTGGATTTCCAGTCAAGGTACACATTCTATCAGGAAGGCCACCACTGTCTTGTGCTATCTGAATTTTACAACCAGATTCTGCTTGCAGCCTGGTGATCTGTTCTCCACCTCTACCAATTACTACACAGTCAAGCAAAATTGTACATATTAGTGTATTTTGCAAAGTGTTGTAATTGCCCTATTAGTGCATGCATTAATGCAAATTAGAGATTTTTATATGGTCAAAACAAGTTAAATTTGAATGATTAAGTATACAGTGATTTCTGGTTTGTGTAACCATTGATTTGAGATGCGCTTCTAATAGAGTATATACAATAGTTTTATTATGCTTGCAATCAAAGAATAATACCTGGAAGTAGACAATGTTTATTGTTAAAAAATGTTAAATTAAATTAGATTGGATTGGATCATATAGAATTGCTCACTGAATACCATCACGTCTAGAAAGAAAGAACAATTGGCGAGATTATTATAACGCAAAAACTCTTCATATTCAACCAACTTAATTAACAGATTAATTATTTATTGACTTCTAAAATTGTTAACGATCATAGAAATGTGCTGTTTAGTTCTCCAATCTTGTCTACCTATGATTTTTTTTTCTTGAACCAAATAGTTCAACTCATTTAGAATTTAATGAAAACAAAAAATTGTTAAACCGAAATTAGTAGTGCTTGGGACACTCAAATCAATCTCTTACGCAAACTTACACAAGTTTGATACCAAAAATGTAATTTTCTTGGTTTGCTATGAAATACGGTTACACTTAAATTGAAGTGAACACTCACAATATGCCTCAAACGAAACCTTAATACCTTAAAAATCATGAACATTTTTGAAAAAAAAATTATCATTTACACTAGTATTAAGTATTGAAACGTACCAAGCCCAACCAGTTTATCTGGCACTGCATATTCTTCACTCAAACTTGATTGTCCAGGTCTGTAATCAATCAAGATATTCTGGTTATCCATTTACTGAACACATTCAGCAATCACAATAAGGTATTCTAGCAGTCAATACTACAAACTTTTCATTTACAGTATTTAATACTATTTTTAGGGGCTTTCTAAAATTAGCAAAGTCCACCGAATAGCATTTCATTGAAAAATACCTTTCGTTTTGGCAAACTTTGTCAATTTGAGAACACCCCCTTACAAATAAAGTAAAACACTATATATACAGTGTTAGACCTAGAACTAAAAAATAATCAGAGACATATGAAGAAGAAAAATTAATATTCACTACTGGTTACTATATATACATTTTAAAAGGAGAGCGGGTTCTGAAAAGAAAACATCACACAAAAATAACCAAACTTCGCCTTAAAAATAATTTCAGCTTGCAAGTAATGCAATGTATTAATGATTACAAAATCAACTATGCCATCATAAATCATTTACTGTCAACCATCAGTTCAGGTAGGACGTTACCATGGTACCTTTCATAACACCATAATTTAACTTACAATTTCAATACGTCAAACCCATTTTTTTTTAGTTTTGGACTTTGGTGCATGGCAAAATGGTATTCTACCATCAATACAATTGTTAATAAATTATGTAAGTTTGATCAAAACAAACCTCTCAAATTCATCCTGATTACCATTTCCTAAATGCCGTCTGAAATAAAAATAAATTGACAATTTCCTACACTTGATAGACCAATAGCAAACTTTACAATAAATAAATAAACAAATGCATGATTTAATGACAATGGAGATGACCAACATATAGAGACCAGATTACACACTTTTGTAGTGTGTACAAAATTAACGCCAGTTGTAGTCTTTGGTAGTTTTCCTGCTTTGTAAGTGAAAATACTATGGATAACGTTTACAGTTTTTTTGCTTTGTAAGTTCAGGAAAGATAAAGTTACGAGAATTCCACTGGCACAAATCACAATATCTCAAAATTATCTGTTAATTAATAATGGTCAAGGCATACAACACTAAGTGTGTAAGAGAAACTTACCTCGCTTGCTGGGCAAGTGCTGCTAATTGGGCACCAATAGCTAATACAAAATAAAAAATGTAATCCCATGATTCTTCATAACTATCAATCAGTACTCAAATTGTACATGCAGAACGCAAGACATTTTTACAGTAGTACCAAACTATACCAGTGCAGATGGGCAACAAAATATTTGAATGTAAAGAGATCAAATGTTGAAATAAGTGGTGGAAACATTAAGAAGAACATTTCTGAATAGAAAGCAAGTTTCCAATTAAATCAAAGCAGATAATGTGCACACTAATTAGCATAACATTCAGATATTGCTTAATTTAATCATAGCAAACTGACAAGTTTCTGTGTGCAACATGTTTTATATCTCAATCAATTAGAGTAAAAGCGTATATTAAGTGGAATTAACTATATAAATTCTATATGATAAAACAAAATTAACAGGTTATTGTTTAGTTTTCCTAGAGAAAACTGTCCCTTTTTATTACATTTCCAGTTTACACAATGGAACAAAATCTGTTACCATCTCATTTTTATTTACTCTGATATCAATAAAATGACTAATGTAGCTACCCCATTGCAGCCGTAATCAGCTGATATAATATGACAGGATGCAACATTAGTCGCAATATGTGAATTGGATAGGGATTATAAATAAGGTTACATGGAAGGAATACATAATGGAGCTACAGTTGGAGCCAATGTAAGAGTTTCTTAGGGTTCCCTTGCCCACAACTAATCCTAACCCTGCCTCTCTAGTACCCTCCTTTTCAATTGTATATACCACTGTTTGGGTCAATTATAGTGCCACATGGGTTAATGGCAGTGTAACAATGTTATTTTGATCTGATAGAATCAAGAACATTATCAACTGTTTTTCAATTTTTTTCAACTTTCAAAACAGTTATATCAAAATATCCACATTCTAGTATAATTGGATTTAGCAACAATCACTTAGAACTGATAAAAAAACTAGTGAAAAAGAAAACTCACGGTCATTTTTAGCAGCCAGTTTCTTAGAATCTGGTTCACCTTCAGCATCTTCTAAAGGCCTTTTAATTCCCATACCACCGAGGTCGACATTACCAGGAATACCAATTGGAGGCATGGCAGATGCTGGTACTGGTGGAGCTACAGTTCCAGGTGGTGCACCAGTGCCGGAGCCACCAATCTTTGCAGCAATCTGAAAATATATAATATAATCAAAGGTCTATTGTTTTTCTGACAGTAGTCGTGAACCCAATTAGTAATTGTGAAGCTAATGGGTCTCAATTTGCCATTACCTCCGACGCTGTGCATTGTGGGAAGTTCACGATTCGAACATTTGCTTATTGTTTACGGTTGTAATTGGTTGAAGAGGCGACTGAACTTAAAAACGCAAATTCTTAAAACCTGTAAACTATATCACTAAGATTTGAATTAGAAATCGTCATTAAGAGGTCGAATGCATTCTATAATCATGACAAAGAAACGAAAACAAAATGGCTGACGGCCACGCTACGGTAACGCGCGCAACACAATCACGATATTACAGTTTAGTAAATATGTTATACTGACCTGTCTTGCACGCTGAAGGGCGTCGGCAAAGGCTGCATTCGTATCAATTGGGGCAGCTGGTGGTGCTACGGCGTTATAATCTGACATATTAGCAAGGAAATTGAAAAATAAAACAAGCGTAAATGTACAACACTACTCTCACGAGGTACGAATTACAAGGCCCACCTAACTCCTTGCACGAATTTACATCCGGGTATGAAGCAAAACACTCCCACAATGCATTGTAGCGAAAGGCTGATAAAGCCGGAAGTTGTTATCTACAGGTTACACATTTATGTCCGAGCTACCCAATTTTAATAGTTGATTAATCGAATAAAAAAATATACTTAGGTTTATGTGTAATGTGTATACCTTTGGACTTTTTTTCCTTTTTTTCATTTTTTCTGTCTGAAAAGGGGTCCATATTTTCCAAAGACTGTCTCTAGAGCTTGAGTGATCCAACAATCAGGAGAATGAAGCTGATTTTTGCTTTCTGGAACTTCATTTCCATCGTTAAAGTCTATCCCCGGGCAGTGGCGGCGGTGCAGTGGGGGCAGTCGCCACGAAAAATAGGTCGGGACGACGCCTCCACGATAAAATAAGGTGAAACACTCATCTATATTTGTCACTAAAATCCACCGCAAATGTCGGTAGAAATGCGCAGCCCAAAATGTAAAGAAAAGTCGCGCCTTGGCCCTGGATTTGTTGACATTCAGTCAAAAAATCTTCGCCCCCACAGTCAAAAAAAAAAAAGCGGCCGCCGCCTCTGTTGGGAGTCCAACTAGGTAAATACAAATAACTGACCACCCCCGATTTCCAGGAATGAATACACCTGAAACGGATCCTCTGATTCGCTGTTTACCATTTATGCTTACTGTCTGGAATATCCACAGTTTGTCTGAAAAGGGGTAAAAAATTTGAGTTTATTTCTGTCCGATAAGGTGTAGGGGTTTCAAACAACCAGCTACACACCCCTGTCTGTATTTTTTGAAAGTATAATATTATACAATTTGTACGCACATGTAAGTCATGTAAATCAGTAGTGTTGTAATAGTTCAAGTTTATTCGCGAAAAACAAAGTAATCAACTACCTACTAAAACTGTTTCCGTTTCTTGACCGATTTATAAAAATAAAAATTGATAACTTATTTTGCGTATCGGGATCGGGTAGAGCAACACACCCGACACATTTCTCGTTGATAGGAAATAATGCGAGGAAGCCACGCTTCCGTCTCTGCACTGTCTACAGAGGACAGAAGAAAAATTACATTAATTCTCGGCTGTTGAAAAACTTATTTTCGCGAATATAAAAACTTGTCTTGAAATCGAACCATTGTTTGTACTGGCGCTCTCTTTAGCCATTTCCCACTGCCAGTTTGTGATTGGAACAACTAAGAAGAAGTCAAAACGTCATTGCAGTTTCAGGGTACCATGACAACTAACATTCTGGTTGTGGCTTTGAAATGAACATCATTACACAGTCGACTGGACTGATGGCTTGCTGCAGACAATTCCTGAATCGTATTTTAAATAAATTTAAAAATATTTTTGTTTTTTCCAATTGTTGCTCCTGAGACACATCATTTCAAACCCGTACTTTAACCTTTTCACCACCAGTTCCCTCTTTTCATCACAAAATCACAAAATGGTCCAATTTATAGTCTGCACAATCGTTCAGAGGATTGGGACAAAAATAGCCAAATTGTTTGAGTAAAAACTGAAAATTGCCTGAAATTTTTTTTTTTGGCTCCAAAATTAAGGCTAATTTTCAGAAGTATTGAAAAATATATATAAAAAAAAGAAAGAGCAGAAAAATTTTGCAGAGAACGTCAGGTGATGAAAATGTAAAATAGCCCAAGTAATCCTATCTACTGAGTATAAATTTCCCAACATTTCATAGCAAGCAAGAATAGCGTATTGTATCCATGGACCAATATACCACACATACTTTCGCACATTTTGTAAGTTTCATCCTTTTGTACTTTTAAACATTTCCATATAATTTGATTTTCGATGCTCATCCCAGATAACGAGATGTTTGTTTCATCAGGAAGGGACGGTATCATATTCCTGAGATCACACGTAATTTTAATGAGCCCTACTAAGTAGTCCAATATACGACATTTATCTGCGACGCGTCTTTTTTGCGAAATTGATAATTTTAAGCAGTCTCGAGCTTGATGCAGAAATGGGATTTCCCAAGCGGTTCAATTCATTTGCGAATGCAAGCGGAAACGTGTCGTCGCCATTTGTCTCCGCAAATTTACCCTCTGGTAAGTTTTGATACCATGTACAAATTTCTGCGTTCCGGCCCTGGTTTGGTCGATCCGGCCTTGGTATAAATTATATTCGATACGTGTTCGTATGTTAATATATTAAATGCACGAATGTTTGACTATCTTGTTTAAAGGGGCACCTTCCAGTTAAGCTTAATTTCACAACAAATTTACTTTCTGGATTAAAATAACAATGGATAACAAAAGATAGATTCGAATGCACAGTCAGTCGTGGTTTGTCGCGTAATGAACGTTAATGTATGACTATCGTGTTCACAACTTATTTTTGTAGCACTTATCGTACACATCTTCCGTTCGGGCATGGTGTCAAAGTACACACAATCATTGAAATGGTAATGAGGAGTGTAGCAAAGAGTGTAGCAAAGAGATCACTTGACTCCAGCGGTATCATCAGTCACGTACTTAACACCTTCTTTGGGCCGTGAATTTTTACCTTTAAACAATGATCTGCCCTCATTGTTTGTAATTTTGCGAATAAAGTAGAGAAGTCAGCCGTGCAGCGACAAAATGAGGCATCTTGCTACATTGTTACATTCAGACTTATTCACGCAATTCCCGTGGAAACACAGTCATTCAAACGAACCACAAAAATACGGACCCTGAGCATTTGTAAAAATATGTTCAAGCAGCAATTTTATAGCTCAGTAAAGATGATAAAACTCTATTTTGAAATGCAGAGGGAGATTTTCACCTGCTTACTCAGAGAGTATCTAATACGTATAATATTTTAACCTTTATTTTAAAAACTTACTGCCATGACCGTAGACTACATCGTTTTGTAATTTGGAAGACCATGTTTCAATGTGTGTCAATTCTGTGGTAATTATTCTTTTGAAAATGCCTGTTGTCACAAATAGAAACTTTGTTGCCTGGCCCATTTATTTTATGTCACCCATGATACAAACTGCAAGCTCGAACGAACTGTAAATGAACTACTGTAAATATTAAGGCAGCTGGTGTAACAAATTGAGGAGAGTGTCCGCGGGCATGCTGACTATCTGTGCACAGAGAACGTTTGCTGTACTTGAATAATCAGTCGAACTAAAAAAAAAAACTAAGCTCCACCCATACCACGGGAGGTAAATGTAGGTCAATTCCAAAGGTAGCTTCGATGTTTCCTGTTCAGTTTTTGTGTCATGACGAATGCACATAGTCCTATATGATCTGTTTCTGAAACTTGAAGTATGTAGTTGGTAAACACCCAACAACTATCTCATCGAAAAAAGATCGATCGCGGGCCATATGCAGAAAACAATCGTTGAAAAAAAAACTATATGCTAAAAATAAAACTTATCAACTGGGCATGGGATCTCACCAACGCGTCAAGTGATTATCCAATCACAGACTAGCCTGACAGGTTGGCGTAGGTGGCGCATTTGAACCAATATCGCCTCGCGAGATAGCGATTCAGTTTGCATGTTTATTCATGTTTATGAACGTAGGATTTATTGACATTTATTGGAATATTTATTGGCATCGGACTCGTTGCGTTGACCCGAATCTTCGACAGCTTGTTAAACGGAAGAATAACAAATA